TCAGCTGACCGAAAATGGGGGCTTTGCGGTGATCGCTTCCCCGCGATCATCGCAAAGTGATTTTCCCCCATAGGGACCATCGCTAAGCAATCGCTCTTGCCATGGCCAAAACCCCATCGCTAAGCAATTTCGTCGCTCAACGGAGCAATCGCTAAGCAAGGCACTACTGTACACACCAATAGAGCAGGGTATTTGTTTGATCCAGAGACACAACTCTCTTTCCCTCAACGACACACGGACACAATCATAGCCCTTATTCTGAACCAAAAGAACTTGGATTCCAAAACCCATAGGACACTGTACAAATCCAAATTCAGATATCAGAAAAAAACATGAAGATTTTTTGTTGGCAACTAGGAAGCCATGCATCATAGGGTGCCATCATCAACTGCTGGAATCATAGAGGAGCTAAATAAGATTTCTATAAATTGAATGCCTGGGTTCTCAGGGCTATACAGCTCCCATCCCACAACTAGCAAATCCGGAATAAATTACACAAATCAGTGAAAGCAGCAAAATCAACCAAGGTACAATGTTTGCTTTCAACGAGGCACTTATTCCTGCACTACTTTTATTTATTCATTCATTTGTCTTATTCAGAGGGCTGACGTTCTCCCAGTAAGAGGACCCAAGGTGGCTCACAGTAATAAAAAGAACAGAATGAAATTCACAATAAATTATATATTAAAGAACAAATTACATTGCAAAGCTCGTTAATGAAGTGGCGGAGATGGACACATGAACAGAAGCTCTGAAAGACAAATCAACCCAAGAAGCATCTGAAAAATGGAACCTTATACATATCACTGGATCCGTTTTATAACTTGAAAGCCAAATGTGATGATTTTAATACAAAAGAGTCAAATAACCCTAGTTGGAATTATACAGGCAACTAACAGACACAAAAGTCTTTAATGTAATGAAATGTTTGTGATAATGGATAGCATGATATATTCCCTGTTATCCTGAGTTATTTCCCTTTACCCTTGAAATAAAAAAAAAGTAAAATTGTAAAGCTGATTAAAAACATCTAAAACATTAACAACGATTTAAACTAAAAGCGGTTTATATCCCACACGTCAGAGGCCCTGGGCAGAATCCAACTGCTGAACCCCACACACGTCGGGGAAAGCTGGATCAGCCGTTCTGGCAATTTTCTAGCCCCATGTTGTACACCCAAGCAGACAACCGAGTGTACAACCTGGGTATGTGCCAGTTTAAACTAATTTGTTTTTATACTCTTCTTAGCAATTGCTGAATAACTCAGTGCTTTAGGTATCCAGCTATAGAGCCAGAGGACGGGAGTTTGATTCCCCGGTGTGTCTCCTTGACAGGGTTTAAGAGTCCATAGGATCCCTTCCAGCCCTGCAGTTCTAGTATCACATTCTAAGTTTATTATAAAAGCCTACCCAGGAACAGAGAAGCAACCACCAAGAAAGTCCCATCTCCTTCTACAGTGGTGCATCGCAAGACTAATGTAATTCATTCCGCGAGTAGCGCTGTCTTGCGAAAAAATCGTCTTGCGAAAAGCGGCTTCCCATAGGAACAACATTACAAAGCATTCCTATGGGAACCTCGCAAGACAAACGATTTTTTTTCATCTTGCAAGGCATCATCCTCAGAAATAAACGTCTTGCAAAGCACGGCCATAGAAGAAGCTGTCTTGCGAGGCACCATAATGATTGAAAAAACCATTCGTCTTGTGTTTTTTTCATCCCGCGAGGCGTTCGTCTTGCGAGGCACCACTGTAATTACAAATACAGCTGTTTCAACCGGTGGGCATATGAGCAGAGCCCCTGGGGATGATCTCTGCCTATGGGCAAGATCATATCGGAAGGTGAAGGTAGTGCTTTAGGTAACTTGATCCAGTCTTTCTTGTTGCAGAACATGGACTGGGCACATCATGATACCTTTTTTTTAGTACAAGGTATGGATAGCTCAGTGGGCTAGGCTTCCCATGGTGTATCCCAGAAGAGTCAGCCCCGGTGGCCGTGGGCAAGCTGCACCATCCCAAGATGTCTCCAGGAGAAGGGAAGAGTAGACCACTTTTGAGTACTCTCTCTTTAGAAAACCCTGAAATTTCATACCTCCTTGGGCACTTCAGCCAGCGATGGAACTTACCTTGTCCCGGAGGGGTGACGTACGTTCGCCGGGGGTTGCTCAGCACCTTGCCATCCCTTACGATCCCGATGCCAATTTTGTTGGCACTTCCTTCAAAGCCAATAACGACCGGCATCGCCTCCCAGAAAGCCAGAGCCAATGGAGAGAAGGACTTGATTCTTTCTGAGAGACAAGAGGACACTTATGGAGGCCATAAAGTTTTTAAGGGTTAGAGAACTGATCTTGGAAAATGAGTACCCTCTACTCTTATTCTACCCTGTAGATGAAGAGCGGCGCATCGTGATTTGGAGATATGCAGATTTCTGCTTTAGGCACACACGGCTCTCGGGAATGCTAGGCATTGTAGTCAAAAATCATAAGCCTACTGGGGAATTCTGGGAGTTGTAGTCCAAAAAAAAAAAACCACAACCCAATATCCACAAGCATCTTTTAAGCATACAGTACCCTGTTTCCACAAAAATAAGACCTAACCTCCTGGGTAGGTGGGACTCGCCAGCCTTGGAAGGCAGCCCATCTAGGAGAAGGAAAACTCCAATTTCAAACCTCCACTGCCTTGTGGCTATATCCACTGATGGAAAAGGCTTCAGGAGTTAACCTCGAGGCAAAATCCGGAGCTGGAGTCCCGAAGGCAGTTCATGTCGTTCTGCCAACTCCTGCAACGTCGCTGGAACCAGTTGTATCGGCTCTTGGCTTTCCATTGGACCATTTCAGTGATTTGGAGGGAGGGATTTGCTGCTTGGGTAACAGCCTATCCTCCATATTATTTTACCCAGACTGTGCTCTGGAGAGGACACTCTCCAAGTCCTCCATATAGAGAACGTTACCATAGTCTCTCGAAAATGAAGAATACGTAAGAAGACCTAACCTGAAAATGAACCCTAGTAGGACTTTTGAGGATGCTCATAATATAAGCCCGACCTAAAAATAAGCCCCAGTTAAGTGAAAAAAAGTGGAAAAAAACCCTCCACCTTTGTGCAGCAACCAGAAGATGATATGACAGTATTTGAATAAAGGTAGATTGCTGTACATGGAAATAAATCATCCCCTGAAAATAAGCCCAAATGCATTTTTGGGAGCAAAAATTAATACATAAGACTCTGTCTTATTTTCGGGGAAAGACGGTACTAAAGTAGTGTAGGCGGCATATAAGTTAAATAAATAAGCAAGTAAATAAATAAATAAAAATGAAAGCTAGAGAAGAGCCCACAGAGCTTATACAGTACAAACAAGAAAATCAAACTGTGGCACCCCTTGTTAATGATGCTGGACCGACTATCATCTCCTGGTTGTGTATTCTCACAACCCCAAAAATGGAATGAGAGCAAGGCCCCAGGGCCCCGGTGACAGCCAGATGGCTGAGCAGGGCCGTCCCCAGTCATCTTGCTGCCTGAGGCCAAGGACGAGACGTCAAGTTGCGGGTTGAGTTTTTTGTTCAACCGCCGGCCATCAAGGAGGGTCTGTCCCCGCACCCGAGAGCAAGAGGCTAAAGCAAGGAACACGACGTGGGTGCCGTTTAGCAGGAAAGGGGGCAGGTTCTCTCCCGGCGATCATAACAGGAGAACCCGGAAGCCCCGATTCCCACGTGCGGGTCAAAGATCTCTTGCACGTGTGAACCCAGGCTCAGAACTCGGGTACTCTCTTGGCATCTATAGGGCCGGGCAGCGTTTGCCAAGGGGGCGGGTTCGGCGCTGCACACAGAGAAGCCGGGCTCTGGGGTCTCCCACCTGGGGAGAAGCTGGGGATGATGGGTTCGTGAGTGCTTGGGGGGGGCGCCCTGGATTGCTTACCCCTGCCGGCTTTTCTTCGCCTCCAGGAAATCTGCTCTTTTAGGGAGGAGACAAAAAATAATAATCCTCGCCTTGCCGGCCGGCAACTATAATAATAATAAATTGGGGGGGTGGGGGAAGAGAGGAAGAAACGCGAAAGGGTTAAATTGTATCCCTTTCCGACTCCTTCGGAGGGAGAAAAAGCATGGATCTAGAGAGGAGCGCTACTGGCAACAGAAACTTCCGGTTCCCATTCCATAGCCGCTACATGCGGGGCAAAAAACTAGGCGCTTGCGGGGGGGAAAATCCCATTAACATTTATTTTTGCAAATAAAGGAAGAAGAATAAAATTGAGCGTCCACTTTGTCCTTTCATTCTGGAACTCTCTTCCTAGTCTTTCTATTGGTCCAACCCCCCCTCTTGGTCCCATTGGGAACCGGTGATGCGATGCCACCAGAGTGCCGTTAAAAGCCGTGGTGTCTGTCTTCTTTGGGGAGGATAGGGGAAAAAACCCTTCCCGATACGGGGAGCTGAGCTCCGCCTATTCCCTCTCCACGTGACAAGGGTGAGGCGACGCGCTCGCTGAGAGTTAACCCTTTCGTTGCTCGACGTGGCATCTTCCCCTCCCGCTTTATCTGGATACTGTTTGGAGGCTAGCTTTAACAGAGCGGGCCCCGCCCCCTGACGTCAACAGGCCGGCCCCCGTGGGGGCCCTGTCACGTGACACAAATCCACTCCACGTGTTTGGTGATTCGCAGCCACCACCTTTTGTCTCAAGGGGGCTCTTGAGATCCTGCTGCGGTACGGCAGGTTATTACTATTGTCATTAATATATTTAATTGCATGCGATTATCGTTGATTTCATTATTCATGAGGAAGTGAAGGGGGAGAGTAAATGGATCGTCCATCTTTGCTTCTAAACGTCTGCAGTATAAAATTCCTTCTGCTCCATCTTTGAGCCCCTTCTGGGGCTTTCAAAAAAAATAATGCATGGCAGGTTAAAATCCAACAGGTGCAGCTTAAGCCGTATAAGATTCCTTCTGCCCTACCTTTCAACCCGTTTCTGGTGCTTTTTAAAAGGTTAAAACCTAACAGGTGCAGCTTGAAGTTGTGTGGCAGGTTAAAATCCAACAGGTGCAGCTTAAGCCATTGCCACGTCTCCTCCTCAACCATTCTCAGTCTTGTTCCTTTCCCGCAGGAGAGGCATAACAATCCTGATTTTGGAAAGGTCAGCTTTAAAGGCGGATCTAGTGTGGCAATCCTGCCCTCTCGGAAAAATATTCAGTATTTACAGCATTTGCCAGCTAAGATCTGTCAGGTTTGGCTCCCCACGCTTCTAAGCAGAGGATCCATTTGAGGCATGCTTAGGGGGAGACGTGAAAGGGGAAAAAAAAGGAATTTTCTGTGCAAAGAGCAGTAAATAATCTCTTTATGAGAGTGATTTACAAGGATAGGTACTTACACCCGTCCTCTTTCTCATGGTGAGATGACCACACCCGTGAAACATATCTGGAAGGGTTTTGTTTCTTTCTCATCCATAACTTCTGATGACCCTCTCCTCCCTCAGGCAACGTCACTCTTCAGGTTTGTGAGACCAGGCCTCCAGCTGCTTAAGGTAGGACCCAGCTGGGCCCTCAAGATGCCAAAACGAGGGAAGAAGAAGGGAGAAGATGAAGCTCTTCCAGAGGAGAAAGAAGTGGCAGGTGAGGATAATCACATGAGAAGTAACAGTGGGATTGAGATTGGGGAGAGATGAGGGGTTCTGGTGTTGTTTTTTTTGGACACTGGCTCATGGTATGTCCCTGGCAGCATGACCAGTGAATACAAGCAAACATGGTGGAGGGGGAAAAAATAAAGGGGGCAGGGAGAGTCAAAATCTGGGTTCAAAAGCCTGCATACTTGGCAGTTCTTGCACCCTATTGTGGCAAGCACCGGGCTTCAGAAATTACTCTGTGCGCCTTAGCCTCAGAGGTAGAAAAAATCTCTTCCTTGATAGCTTTGATGTTCATTCCTAATCTTGGTTGATGTGGTAATTTTCAGATTTTCATACACTGTACAGTAGTACCTTGGTTTAGGAATTAATGTGTTCTACTGGATATTACATAAAGCAAAAAAATCATAAACTGAAACGTGGATTGCCATAGGAACAGGAGGGTGCTATAAACCTCCAGGCACCATGCATCCTGGTGGAAATTGCTTTGTACTGCGGAGAAAAAACGTAAACCAAGGCATTATTTTCAATGGATTTCCGTTCGTAAACCGAAAATTAGGTTAACCGAGGCGTTTGTAAACCGAGGTACTGGTGTATCAGGGATGGTGACATGAAGTGTGAGACTCGCTGTCAAGTCCAACTTAAGTCGCACTGGGGATTCAGCTTGGACTTGATTCAGGTGTTTTTTTAAGGACTTGAACATGACTCACAACGCGGAGTCCACCCACCCGTTCTGGGGGAAAAAACCTTTTTAATAAGGGCTCTGACTTGGACCCAACAACCCTGCATCATATCTACTCATCGCTCTGTTAAGACAAACTGAAAGCTGTTATAAGAAAGAAAAAGGACGCTTTTCCAAAGAAAGGCAATTTAGAGATGGGCACAAACCGGTGGTTTATGCTGGTTTGTTTATCGGCTGAACAAGTGTTCAGCCCTTCTTAAGCCTGCCTCCTCCAGCAGGCGCCCACTTCTAGGCAGCACCTTGCTTCCCTGCCCCGCCTCCTCCAGGCGCTGCCTCTAAGTGGGTGTTTGCTGGAGGAGGCGGGTCTGGGAAGCACAAAAAACCTGTTCGGCCAATAAGCAAACCTGCGATTCGTGCCCATCTCTAAAATACATTTAGCTGTTTAGTTTGCTGGAGGAGGCAGGTCTGGGAAACGCAAAAAAACTGTTTGGCCAATAAGCAAACCTGAGATTCGTACCCATCTCTAAAATACATTTAGCTGTTTAGAGGCATTGGCAGAAATCCTGTTGCTTAGCATAGTAAGTCACAGTTAGAGCAGGCCGATGGAATCGGTGAGGATTTGTTGATTCATCTTCCTAAGTTCCATTGACTCAGTCGGCCAACTCTAGTTCTAACTTACTATGCTAGCCAATAGGATCCCAGCTATCGTGTTTTATACAATGGTGCCTCGCTTAACAATGCAACTTACTATGCTAACCAATAGGATCCCTGCTATCGTGTTTTATACAATGGTGCCTCGCTTAACAATGTTAATTGGTTACCAAAAAACCATCGCTATAGGAAAACATCATTAAGCAAAACACCATTTAACATAGGAATGCATTGAAAACCGGTTAATCCGTTCCAATGGGAATGGATTACCGTCCTTAAGCGAAAATCCCCATAGGAAACATCGCTAAGTGATACGTTTCCCTCATTGAAAATCATTAAAGCCGACTCAATGATTTTCAATGGCTTCCCGATGTCTGTTTTCGCTCATTTAAAAGTGTCTTAACATTTTTGAAACCTGTTTTAAATGCTTGGAATCGATAGTCGACCTTGGGGGAAAAAATTCACCAAAAATTAACGAAGACTCAGAACAAAGCCAAATTAAGTTTGCATAGGTTTCACAAGGTGGACTATCAATTCCAAGCATTTAAAAAAGGTTTCAAACATTTTAAGGCACTTTTAAATGAGCCAAAACGGACATCGTTAAGTGAAAACCCCCATACAGAACATCGTTAAACGATGCGGAAAAGTCCTCAAAGAAACCCATCGCAAAGCGAATACATCGTTAAACGAAGCAATCGCTAAGTGAGGCACCACTGTATTTGTCATTTATGGTACTTGGAGAATAAGGGAACAGCAGGCAATGAGGCACCCTGAGTTTCCACTATTACTATCAATAATAAATAATTAGCAGCAGTTAGGGTTGATAGGAGAGCCAGTAAGGTATAATGGATGCTTGGTCATAGCAGCTTATGGGGTTGTGATGCAATGGTAAACCCCTCCGTGAACATCTTGGGTATCTTGAAAACCCTATGAAGGTCACTGGAAGTTGGAAGTGACTTGCCAGCACGTAACGACGGAGTTGGTAGGGAAAGGGGTTTCTTGATCAATGTTATGAAGACTTCACGTCCCACTTAGGTTGTTTCTGTGTCTCACCAATAATGCTGAAAGCCACTCTTGTGGACAGCATCTATACAGTATATATACAGACCCAGATTTTCAAATCAATACACAGAACTACTCAGCCAAATCAAGAAAACTGTGCTGTGCAATATTTCTGGCCTGGAAGGGGAAAGAAAAATCAGTGCTCTCCCCTCCTACCTGGTTGGCAACTGCAACATACCAGGGAAACCTACTAGATCATCGTTTACAAGCTTGTACGATACCCCGTTGACTATTAAGAATGAGAAGTGGTTGGTTTGTTTCATCCTCTTTCTCTGTTTATCTCTTCCCCCTTTTTTAAACTGGCAGAGCCGGAGCCCAAAAAGGGTAAGAAAGTAGGAGCAAAAGCCGAGAAGGAGGCTGACGGTCCTATCATGTATCAGGATCCTCCCGATAAACTCACATCTCCCAGCGGCAAGAAATACACACTGAAGGTCACTTCCTGGAACGTTGACGGAATCCGAGCCTGGTTCAAGAAGAAAGGTCTGGAGGTAACACATAAGACAACCACTGTCGATAACAAATTAGAGAGGCCCATTTAGACTGGAACTTGGAAAAGTTCCTTTCATACTCAGATATTTTTTTAAAATTGCAGCTTTCCCAAACGCTGCTTTAGTTGTGTTCTGTTTAGTCCAATACCTTCTGAGCTAGTCACAGATACCTGGACCTCTCCTTCTTGCACTCTAGTTGCCTTGGAGCAAAATTGCTTTGGAAAATGGCCGTTCTGTTTGGGCGTCACGATTAAATGGGGTGCCCCAAGGAAAGCAGGGGCGAGCAGATTGTTTTGGACTACAACTCCCATCACCATTCACTGTCAGCAAAAGGCCAGTCGAAGTTGTAACCCAAGAATATTTGGAGGGCCAGAGTTGGCTTTGACCGTTAACCTTTGGGTTAAAGTCTTGGATCAGGGCTGGCGATAGGCAAACTCAAAACGCTTCTTTGTTCATAAAAGTGCATCTTTATGCACCACAGAGCTGGGAGGGACCCGATGGACCATCGGGTCCAGCCCCTGTCAAGCAGGCACTGCGGGGGAATCGAACTCCCAACCGATGGCTCCACAGCTAGAGACCTAAACCGCTGAGCTATCCAGCATCCTCCTGTGGGATAGGTTTGAGGAAGAAAGGAAGCAGGTGATCCAAAGTCACACAGAGGACGGTGCAGTTGCAACGGTCATTTGAACCCAGGTCTTGCCGATCTTAATCCCAGTTCTAGAGGATATGCCCTATGTAAACAACTAGTTCTGTTTGTAGGCCAGGTCTTCACCTCTACCAGAGTGTATTTACCTGTTAAATTCCCATGTGCTGTACGGTGAGAAGGCTGGCCAGATAGCTCAGTGCAACAGGCATCTGGTGGTGGAGCCAGAAGTTGGGGGTTCAGTTCCTCACGGTGCATCCCAGAAGAGCCAGCCTGTGTAGCTGTGGGCAAACTGCACCGTCTCAGGGTAACACCACCACCCCCAAGAAGAAGGGAATAGTAAACCACTTCTGAGTACTCTTTACCTAGTCACAAAGAGTCGGACATGATTTAACAAGTGAGAGTTGACTTGAGGACAAGTCTTCCCCTTCTGGGAGAAGATGGATGTTAGAGTCGTCATTGTTTAGTCGTGTCCGACTCTTTGTGACCCCATGGACCAGAGCATGCCAGGCCCTCCTGTCTTCCACTGCCTCCCGGAGTTGGGCCAAATTCATGTTGGTCACTTTGATGACACTGTCCAACCATCTCGTCCTCTGTCGTCTCCTTCTCCTCTTGCCTTCATACTTTCCTAACATCAGGGAGTCTTCTCTTCTCATGAGATGGCCAAAGTACTGGAGCCTCAGCTTCAGGATCTGTCCTTCTAGTGAGCCCTCAGGGTGGATTTCCTTCACAATGGATAGGTTTGTTCTCCTTGCAGTCCAGGGGACTCTCAAGAGTCTCCTCCAACACCACAATTCAAAAGCATCAATTCTTTGGCGGTCAGCTTTCTTTATGGTCCAGCTCTCACTTCCGTACATCACTACAGGGAAAACCATAGCTTTGACTAGAGTAGTCAGAGTACCTTGACCTAAATCTGCCTTTCCCTCCGCAGTGGGTGTGCAAAGAGAACCCCGATGTCCTGTGCCTCCAGGAAACAAAATGTGCAGAAAAACAGCTTCCCGCTGAGGTACGGGATCTTGCCGAATATCCCCACAAATACTGGGCCTGCTCAGATGATAAGGAAGGCTACAGTGGCGTCGCCCTGCTCTCCAAAACCAAGCCCATTGATGTCACCTTCGGTATCGGTAAGGACGCCGGGTGGGGCGATCCCCATCCCAGTCTTATTGCTGGCTGGTTGTCTCTCTGAACGGCAGGGCCTTTTTTTTCTACCCAGTTCTTTGCTTCATACCTTCTCCCCTGTACAACTACATTTCATGGCTGGCTCATCCTCTGGGATGCTGGTGAAGAGAGTGTAGAGGCATCAGCAGAGGCTGATGGTGACTATGGGGAATTTACAAGCATGGGGAGTGTGTATGTGTCAGTTTTTAACTAGTTAGGCACCTGCTTGCTCCTAAACACAGCTAAGAAGGGTTCTGGGCAGAAGAGAATCAAAATGGCCTAACATCAAAATATCTGGTTCAATTTGCATTAAATTTCACCCAGCAACAGGCTTAAAAAAACAACAGCAGCAGAATTATTGATACTGTGTGGGTTAGAAAGCATTAAACCCCATATCTTAATGCTTTTTCTATTTCTCCACCCCAGGGCTCCTTTAGCCTTTCCCTTCATCCTTATGTCTTGCTCCCCATGACCAGGCAGTAAGCTTGCTCTCCCTCTGCTGTTTTAAGCGTTTGAGATGCCAGAGAAGCATCTCTGCAGAGCAGTTCATTTCCCAGGCCTGCCTCCAGCTTTGTCTGCCTCTCTAAGGAAAGTCTGGCATCTAGTGGCTGAAGATGGGACTGCAGAATCTCTGCAGAATAGGACTGGAGGATTCTAAGGATTGTAGTTGGAGCAGGTCAATTCTTCCAGTCTCTTCCCGTGTTCGCGATGCTTTGCATACTGGTTCCCTGGCTTTGTGGTTCATCATCAAATGGTAAACGTAAGCCTAATTTGCACACATCTCTAATGAAACTCCTCTGATACATGCTCATTTCTGTTAACATCTAGTCCGACCTTGAACCAAGCACAGATACTCTCATTATAAAGTACAGTAGGATCCCCGGATCCGTAGGGGATTGGTTCCAAGCATCCCCATGAATTCTTTAAAAAAAAAAAACCATGTATGATAGCGAACACCATTTTAATAGCAAACACTATACAAAACATGGTCTCTGCCTCCTTCTAGTGGCCAAATTTGGTAATTTCATATTTAGAAATATCAAGGATTTTTTTAAAAAAAATTAAAATATTTTTAAACAGTGAATAAATGAATCGGCAGATACTGATCCTGCAGATGAGGTAATACTGTAGATTTCTTAATTTTTTAAAAACTTTTGAATGACATTGCTTATATGCCCAGTTGCTGTTCTTATTCCCTGGGTTTTCTTCTTCCTTCCCAGGGGAGGAAGAGCACGACAAGGAAGGCCGTGTGATCACGGCCGAGTTCCCCTCTTATTTCCTGGTGACGGCCTACGTGCCTAACGCCGGCCGGGGCCTGGTGCGGCTGGAATACCGCCAGCGCTGGGACGCGGCCTTCCGCTCCTACCTCCAAGGCCTGGCTGCCCAGAAGCCCCTCATCTTGTGCGGGGACCTCAACGTCGCCCACCAGGAGATCGACCTGAAGAACCCGAAGGGCAACAAGAAGAACGCCGGCTTCACGCCGGAGGAGCGGGCCGGCTTCACCACCTTGCTGGAGGCGGGCTTCGTCGACAGCTTCCGCCACCTCTACCCGGACACGCCCTACGCCTACACCTTCTGGACCTACATGATGAACGCCCGGGCCAAGAACGTGGGCTGGCGGCTCGACTACTTCCTGGTTTCGAAGGACCTCCTGGAAGGTCTCTGTGACAGCAAGATCCGCTCCGCAGCCCTGGGGAGTGACCACTGCCCCATCACCCTGTACGTGGCTGCGTGAAAGGCAAGAGTGTTAGCATTTGGGTGGCTGGCAGCTGTAATATTGTAGTATAGTGTAGATTTCTTAATTTTTTTTAGAACTTTTGAATGATATTGCTTATATGCCCAGTTGCTGTTCTTATTCCCTGGGTTTTCTTCTTCCTTCCCAGGGGAGGAAGAGCACGACAAGGAAGGCCGTGTGATCACGGCCGAGTTCCCCTCTTATTTCCTGGTGACGGCCTACGTGCCTAACGCCGGCCGGGGCCTGGTGCGGCTGGAATACCGCCAGCGCTGGGACGCGGCCTTCCGCTCCTACCTCCAAGGCCTGGCTGCCCAGAAGCCCCTCATCTTGTGCGGGGACCTCAACGTCGCCCACCAGGAGATCGACCTGAAGAACCCGAAGGGCAACAAGAAGAACGCCGGCTTCACGCCGGAGGAGCGGGCCGGCTTCACCACCTTGCTGGAGGCGGGCTTCGTCGACAGCTTCCGCCACCTCTACCCGGACACGCCCTACGCCTACACCTTCTGGACCTACATGATGAACGCCCGGGCCAAGAACGTGGGCTGGCGGCTCGACTACTTCCTGGTTTCGAAGGACCTCCTGGAAGGTCTCTGTGACAGCAAGATCCGCTCCGCAGCCCTGGGGAGTGACCACTGCCCCATCACCCTGTACGTGGCTGCGTGAAAGGCAAGAGTGTTAGCATTTGGGTGGCTGGCAGCTGTAATATTGTAGCTTGCGGGTGGGGCAAAAAAAGAGAAATTATTGTAAAAAACTAGTGGCGTAACATTGGAGGCAGATAATACTGTATATCCTGACCCCCTACTGTAGGACAGGGGTTTGACTTCCCATTCTGTTCCTCTAGCTGAAACTTGTAAGAGGAAATCAGAAGGATCTTAGGCTCCTGAACTGGGAGAGGACCTTTCCGAATTTGTCATGGCCAGCTCCAGGCTAGCAATATAATCTACAGTTCTGGGCGTCACTCTTTTCAGTGCTTGGCCCCAGTTTGTTCTTTTGCTGCCTGTAGGAAGCACCCGATGAAACAGAACCAGGGAGTTGAGCAAAGTAACAGAGATGCCGTTATTTCTCCCTCCCCCCAAATCAATTCAGTAATTATTAAAGGTCGAAGAGACAGTGCCTTTGCATTAGCAGCTGGCAAGCCTGTGTTTTAGGGTTCTTAAAACAGGTGATTTGTCAGTGACAAGGAGGGAAAGACGCTATTTTCTGCTTTTCACTTAGATGCGTCACCCAACTTGAAACTGTTCTCAAATTCCCTTGGCCTGTGGCTCTTAACCCTCTTTTAATTAAGCAGCGATTGCTCCTTAAGGCACCCTTCTTGCTTAATCATCTTGTTCTGTTCCTGCCCTTAAAGACTCCCAGTAGCTGAATGCCAAACCCTCTCTCCTCTGCCGAAAATAGACCATTAAAAACGTTTACAGGAGAAAGGGCTGTCTTGTTTCATTTCTTTAATGGCTTGTTTTTCTACGGTAACTGGACTTCACGTCACGGCTACTCCTTCCTTCCTTCCGGAGTGCTGTGCGTCCCACCACCATCCTCTGTATTAATCTAAACAACCCTGTTTGCAGGGATAGCTGAAATCAAAACATAGTTGGCCTAGAGGTCATCCAGTGAGATTTGAGGATGACTGAGGATTTGCCTACATGTCTCTCTGACCTGTCTGATTTTACATGCCTTTGAATTGTACAGTGGTGCCTCGACTTACAAACGTTCCGACTTACAGCCATTTCAAGTTACGACCAGCTCCGGCTGCACATTTTTGCTTTGACTTATGGCCAGAGCTTCGAGTTATAACCAAAAAATAAAGGCGGGGAATTCAAATTGCTAACTGTTGGTTGGCAAAGAGGCTGCTTCTTTGTAGCTATTTAGCCCCAGCGGTTAGAGTGTGTGATCGGAGGCGGCTTCGGTAAGGTGCTGCTTTCTGCTTTTTAAAAATGTCTCTTCTGGGTGGGTTTTGCAGTGTGGTTTTGGGCTTGGGGGGGGTTATGTTTCTGTGCTGTGCTGGGTCTTGCAGGGTTTGTTTCCTTTTTTGGCTCCCCCCCATTTCCCATGGATCTTGGGGGATTTGTTTGTTTTTTGGAGTTTCCCTCCCCCTCATTTCCGATGAGTCTTTCGGGGTTTGCTTGCTTTCTGCTTTGCTTTTTTTGCATTTCCGATGGATCTTAACACAGTTTGCTTGCTTACTGCTTTGCTTTTTTTGCATTTCCAGTGGGTCTTGCACGGTTTGATTGAGTTCTGGTTTTTTTTTCCCCTTTCCGATGGGTCTTGCACGGTTTGCTTCCTTTTAAAAAATTTTCCTCTTCGGCTGTAATGGATTAATCATGTTTCCAATGAGTCTTGCAGTGGTTTTTTGTTTGTTGTTTTTTGGGGATTTTTTTCCCTTCGTCCGGAACAGATTAATTACATTTCAATGCATTCCTATGGGTAATGGTGCTTCGAGTTACAACCATTTTGAGTCACGATCATCTTCCGGAATGGATTAAGTTCATAAGTCCAGGCACCACTGTATTTACTATGATTAGGCATCTAGACATCTCATGAGAACATTGCAGCTTAATATATGGATCTTCCATTTCTCAGAGGACCCTCACAAAACGGTTTCTGCAACAGTTTCAAAACATGGATGGTTTAAATTTACAGGAGCAAGACGATATCCATGAGGTTCATTCCAAGCCACTGTGAAAATGCTGAAAAATGTGGAGATAGCCAATGCTATACATTGCATGGCCTCTGGCTCCCGCTAGTGGCCAGCTCTGGTAAATACACCCTGGAAATACATATACAGTAGTGCCTCGCTTAGCGATGTTAATCCGTGCAGCAAAAATCGCTGTGAAGAGATAACATTGCTAAGCGATTTTAAAAAGCCCATAGAAACGCATCAAAACGTGTTTAATGCGTTCCTATGGGCTTCCAAACTAACCTTAAGCGAAAATCCTCCATTGCGGCGGCCATTTTCGGTGCCTCTAAAGGGAGGCAAAACAGCGGGCAGCCATTTTTTCCCCGGCGGTTATTTTGGAACCACCGATCAGCTGTGCGAAAATGGGGGCTTTGCGATGATTGCTTCCCCGCGATCATCACAAAGCGAATTTTCCCCATAGGAAACATTGCAAAACGATCGCTTTTGCGATCGCAAAAACAGCGTCGCTAAGCAATTTCGTCGCTCAACGGAGCGATCGCTAAGTGAGGCACCACTTGCAAGACGATGTTATTTCGTTCTGTGAAAATCACTGTTTTGCAAAAACATCGTCTTTTGAAATGCGGTTCCCCATTGGAATGCATTGAAATCCATTTAATGCGTTCCAATGGGGAAAACAGTCGTCTTGCGAAAATCGCCCACAGAGAAACCATTTTGCGAAGTAAGGACCATCTGTCAAAATCACTGTCTTGCAAAAATCGGTCGCTAAAAAACCCTGTTTTGTGAGTCGCGTACCTAGCTGTCAAAATCGTCATCTTGCAAAGCATGGACTGAAACATCAGCAAAAATTGCCCATAGGGAAAACCCTTTCGCAAAGCGCTATAGCGATCGCAAAAACTCAGTCTTGCGAATAAACCGTTTTGCGAGGTAATCGTCTAGCGAGGCACCACTGTAAATAGGTACAGTATTTCGGGGGTGGGTGGGCTATTTAGTATTTTCAGCCAGTGGATAAGTGAATCAGCAAACAGTAATGCTGTGGAGGGGGGGGGGTCCTACTATATTATTCCTTACTGAAGGTTCTTCATCAAAGCATAGCTACCCACAGATTTTTTATTTTTGCTTGCCCGTGGCCAAAGTGGTTCTCACAAAAAGTTACTGTCAGAAGTCCTCCACTGGGAAGGGTGTATGCAGTTTCTTTACCTGGTTACAAATGTGGGTGACGAGAGTGAATAGAAATATGATCCACGTTTAGATGGATATACAACCTCCCAGAGCAAAGTGGAAACTAGGAACCAGGCACCTTATCTTAAGAGCTACAGAGCTGGAAATGGCCTTGTGGATGGATCATCCAATCCAGCCTGTGAAAAAGGCACAGCGGAAATCGAACTCCTAACTTCTGGCTCTGCGGCCAGAGACCTCGACCACTGTCCTATCCAAATCTCACCTTCCCACCTTCTTTAAAGTTAACTTCCAAGTTCTCGAGGTGGCGTAGGGGACACATGGTCTTGCCCCCGGTTCCATGTTGGAAGGCCAGATTGACCAGGAAGGATTCTCTAGTGGGGCAGGTTGCCAGTAGCCAAGCATTCAGTTAGCTCACTCCCAGCCGAACTACCCACATCTTCACTCACTCAGGTGTGTATCAAACCTCAGGGGAAGGGCCTTCGGCCTGAATCTCCAAAAGTCTGGAACAGATGGCATTCTCAGTAGCCTTGAAGGTGACTTCCAGTCCCTTGACAGAAAGCGGCTAGGTGTTATTTTAGGTCTCCCTCCCCCAGTCTGCGAACTAGGAAACCAAGAAGGGCAAGTGATGAGCAGTAAGAGACATGGTTAAGTCACCTAATAACTTGGATCTACTGGTGTTCTCTACCTTCTCTGGTATACCATGGCTGGCAAGCTGTGGCCCAAGGCCCTCTCTGACAACAGACAACAACACACAAGCCATAACTTCCTTCTCAAAACACACTTGTCAAGGTATGGAATCTACTTTTATTTACAACCATCCCATCATTTTTTTTCTTCATTCCTCCTTGGGCTGTGGGGAGAGAAGTAGGAAGGTGGCAGACCAGCCTTGTTGTGACTGGGAGAAGATGGGAGAAAGACAGGAAGGGAGAAGATGCAGGCAGAAGGAGAGACGCAGGCAGGCAGCCACCAGGGAGGAGTGATCTTTAAATAGCTCTATGTACAGATTCATTGTTCTTATATACAAGCTGCAACAAGCAACAGGTTTTGGGGTTTCGAGCTCAAAAGCTACGGGGTCGGGAGACCGAATCTTGAGGCAGGGGCTTCATTGCAGGGACTGATCCTTCACCCAGAAGCCAAGAAGAAGCCAAGGCAAACAAGACTGAAATATTTCCCGTCACCAAAATGGTTTATTCTCGCACTGCCAAGGCGATGACCCCCTTTTTCTACAGCTACGTCAGGGCCAGTCTCCCCTTCCACCCAACCACCCCCAACATCCGGTGAACCTCAACAATAAAGGAAGGGCTGGATCCATCCCTATTGAAACCCTGGGGAATCACGGATGCAGGGTGGCGGAAGGGAATGAGTCGAGAAGTAAGGGGGAAAACGAAGATTTTGGAAGAACAGAGAAACAAGGTTGTAAATTCAACTGCGAAGAAGAAGAAAAACGGGAGATGGAGCTGCTGGCAGGAAAAGGGAAGAGGACACAGCGGTGTCACGCAAGACACAGACCCCAGGATTTCCAACGACACAAGAGAGTCACGCTTGAGAATCTCAGTGCAACGGTGGGAAGGGATTTTTTTTTTTTGGCAGGCACAGAGGAGTGGCATGACAGGAAGATGGAGGGTCTTCTGCCCCATTGCACAAACAAAAAGTAAGCCAGGATGCTCCATCGAGGAATGTGCAGAGAAAAATATACGCACAAACACGCACGCACACAAGTCGAGGGAAGTCAAAGCAACGACAAAAATGTCCCAAGGTTACGTTCTGGTGAAGCCTGAGGCTCTTTCGGCGCAAGGTCTCCGAAATCCCAGGACACCAGTGGCAGGCGGGGGACATGAAGATCGAGCCTAGATGATGGTCGGTGATCAACACACATTGGGGGGAGGGAATTACCTGGGGTCGTAGGAGAGGAGTTCAAAGCAACCCGGCCGTGGCATGCGGTACTGGCAATTTAAAGCAACAAGGTTCTCTCAAGAGCTGGGGAGATCCCCCCCATGCCACACGTCCTTGCTCCAAATCAGCCTTACATCGGGAATGTTCAAGAAGCCTTGCAACTTATTGGATGTCCTCTGCATCTGCCCCATTTTTTTAAAAAAAAAACATTAGCAAGTGGGTGCGCGGAGGAAAAGGGACCAACCGATGCCACAGTGACTCCTTGGTACCATTTTTCCATCCAGCCCTGGGTGGGAAGCGTTGCCACAGCTGCAGAGGGGGGAACCCGTTCTTTTGAAGTTGTCCCGGCTGAATCGCTTGTAGTGTATGTCAAGATGCTGAGACCTCCTCCCAACGCGACTTCCGTTCGGGATGGGCCCCGTTTGGATCTAAGCCTTCTAAAAGCATCCCCCCTCCTTCTGCCTGTTGTGCTTCTGTCCCAGCGTAGCCGCTGCAGTTCAAACGCCTCTCGAAGGGAAGCGGGGCTGAGCCCCCAACCCGACGCCTGGTTTTTGGGGGTCCCCAAATGTTCAGGCATAATCAAGGACCTCTTGAAGTTGGTCCGATTGGCATTCTGCTGCCCCCAAGGGGCTGAAAGGAGCGCTGCAAGGGCAGCCCCGGTTTCCACCGTCTTCGGTCCTCTGGGTCCAACAGTTCATTTTCGGCACCATGCCTCGCCCACCGGGGTGGGTGGGTGGAGGCAGATCAAGGAGAGACATCCACCCGGTGGGGATGATCAGCAGCTGTAGAGTTGATAAAAATGGGGTGCTGGCGCGGCAGGAAGGTAGCACAGGAAGTCCTAGTCCTGAAGCAGAGAGGAAGGGGGGGAGGGGAGAAAGAAGGTAGATGGGCTCTTGGCAGATGATGTGCTTGGGACAGCAGCAGCAGCAGCAGCTGGAAATGGAAGGACATCTCGGGGAAGCTCAAGAGAAGTTCTGGACAGGATGGCTGACCCTCATGCAGGCCCAGTACATTGCCCGGCCAAGGCACACCAAGGCCAGGAGAATAACCAGCACCCAGGAGGCATAGATCCCTCTGTAGCGCTGGGCTTGGTCCCATGTGCCGAACTAGGAGATGAGAGAGAGAGAGAGAGGGGGAAGGAGGAATGAAAAAGGGAACAGCATTTCACAGCAGCAATGAGTAAGCATTTCTGCCATCAATGGAGTAACATCCTACGTTGGCTATGGCGGTGGGGAAAGGGGGGTTCAACCTGGGGCCGACAGGAAGAGCTGGAGGGTGCACCATTGTGGCTCCAGTGTCAGGTTTTGCTCACACAAGAGATTAGGTTTATGCCTAGAGGCACTGGACACTATAAAGGCAGCCACAGAGGGGTTTTTTTTTGCATGTCGGGGTTGACAAAGCCTACCCCACCCAGCTTTTACTTGACAGCAACTCTTCTTAGCCCCAGCCAGCATTTCCAGGAATGCTGGGAATTGAAGCCCAACCATGTAGGGAATGGCCAACAAGGCAGTGGGTCTTCTAAACACATCTGATATGAACATCTGGATTGTATTTAATTTTTAAAGAAAATCCACTGTGACTCCGTAGTTAAACTGCAGTACTGCAACCAAAACTCTGCTCACCACATGGGTTCAATCGCAGGTAGCTGACTCAAGGTTCACTCAGCCTTCCATCATTTTGAGGTCAATAAACTGAATACCCAGCTCGCAGGGGTGGGGGGTGGGGAATGCAATGCGTAACCTAAATAATTAAATTGTGAACCACCCAGAGAGTGCTCGGGCAGTACAGAAGGAGCACGTGTTGCTTTGCTTTTACACCGAAAAGAAAAAAAAATAGCTATAGAGTGAAACCCAGACTCAACTGCTATTTAAAACTGAGAACTGTCACTGATCTGAGTCTAGAGGCAGAGCCAAATTTCTCAGCAGAGATCAAGAATGCGTGACCTCGAAGATGCTGCTGGACTTGGTACTTCTATCTTCCTGCACCTTTCCACAATGCCTTTGGAACCATCCAAAAAGACCTTCGGGGAGGCTTGGGTCATTCCTTTCCTCTAACGAGCTACTTAGGCTTAATTTAGTTTAGTCATTTATTTTATTTACTGCTGCTGCCCCCAAGGCGGCTTTCCCCCTCCACTTGCTGAGCCCAAGGCAGCCACTGAAGACCCTCCCAAAAAAGACCTTGGAAAAAAAATTCTAGACGATCTGGACCAGAAATTAGAGAGACAAACACCCGTTCAGTTTCTGGCTGCCAAATGCCAATTAAGGACCATGCCCCCACCCTATTCCTACTCACCGCAAGTCCTGTTGCTGTCACAGCCATTAGCAAACCCAGCAGGAAGCAGCAAAAACACCTTTTCCGAGGGTAACGGCGACCGATAGAGGAGCTGGCGGGAGGAGAGAGAACACGGAAAGCCCATCAGACATCTAGTGACCTGCTTGATTGTGGGGGTTGTGCCTTCAGAGCAATGGTTCCCAACCTTGAGTCACCGAGGTGTCCCTGGACTACAGTTTCCAGAAGCCTTCACCACCAGCTGTGCTGGGATCCTGGGAACTGCAGTCCAAGAACACCTTGGGCTGCCCATGGTTTGGAAATATTGCTCTGGAGGAGGTATCCTCTACTGGCCTGGCCTACAAAAAGTGACAGGCATCTCGTCACAACTCATCTCTGGCTCTCCTGTGGCTCCTGGCTCAAAATTCAACCTCTTTCTCATCTGGAATGCTCCCCACTCCCTGCATCCAACGCGGCTGCTAAAACTGGGCCCTTAAAGGCAGCTCTTCAGGCCCTTCTTTCTGCACACCCACATTCGTATCACGATCACCCTTCTACTATTTGCCGGCTGAGAAATGCGCGGGAACTCACACTTTGCGGCAGTGAGGACATCGGGCTAAGGTGCGGTCCGTGAACTCCGTCCACTGGAGGAGGTTGGGTGAT